GTGTGCCATTGGGTCTGCTCTGCGTCACCCAGGTTAGCCTGCCAGCCTCAGGTGAGCCTTGAGATGCTGCCCTGTCACCAGCTTCTATATGTGAACTGGATGGGGGAATGCAATCTTGTCCTTCATCTTAGGCAGCAAAAGGACTTGGACTGGCTTTGTTCTTTAGCCATCATGAATGGACAGATATTTTTGTTTATTGATTTAGCAAGAATATTTACCACACACATGCACACACAACTTGTTATAGAATAATATATGCTATTAGATAATATAGATGATAATGATCTATTATTATTCTGTTATAAATTATAGGTAATTTATGCATCACCTTTTACACGTGTGCCAAGGCAACTTACAAGCATATCAGAAACACAGCTAAAGTAGTTCTAAAAACAGTACAGAAATAACCAAATGTTCATTCTGTCTTGTTTTTTTAAAAGCCAAGGCAGAGATATTTTCTTCCAGCTGCTCTTATTTCTGGAAAGTAGAGATAGCGGGAACCTGCTGTTCCATAGAACCCCACTGAAAGCCCTGTTCCGAGTGACTGTGGAATGGGCTTCTGATATTTTGGGCACTTGCTGGATAAACCACTTGCAGAATGTAGTGGTTCATGTGGTATGTGAAGGATAAGGTGGTCCCCCAAGCAGCCTGACCTTGAGCTGTATAGGGCCATAAATGTTAGTGAGAAAAACCTTGAACTTGGCCTAGTAGCAGATTGGCAGCCTCGGCGAATGCTGCAAACAAGGTGCTATATGCAACCTTGCAGTTGCGTTCTGCAGCCTCTGAACCACCCTCAACAGTAGCCCGAGATAGAGCGCATTGCAATGATCCAAGCTTGACATTACCAGTGCATGGACAACTGTGGCGAAGCTAACCCAATCCAGGAACAACCATGTGTTAAAAAGGAAGGGAGAAATAGTTTTCCAAGTGCTTCTTCAAGGCTAATTCTCATACACAGACACACACACACGCTTCCTTTCTTGTTTTTTGTAATGGCTGTGCTAATGCCCCTCTATCTTTTTGTATGTGTTGGATGCAGATTGGATCCCCCAACATGTCTATTAGAGGATAAATAAAGCAGATTAGCACAGCCATTCCCTTGTTACTGTATAATATTATATTATATTATATTATATTATATTATATTATATTATGTTATATTATTATATTGCATTCCCATACTGAATATTTGGTCTCTATGTGCAGTGGGGGTTGGTCAGCAGTTACCTGTTTAAAGAAACCTGAGGCACCTTGAGAGAATTCATATTATCATTGGGAATGATGGGAGTTGTAGTCCAACAACTTATGAAGGGCCGAAGGCTCCCCAGCCCTGGTATAAAATATTGCAAGTAGCGAAGTAGTTTCATTCACTACAATAATGAATAGCGAAGATGAAGTACAATGCAATTAATAAAATGATACCCTAATTACCCAGTTATAATGTCCTTAGCTATAATAAATTTGTTGTCAATAAAGTGGCCTTTAAGGCTATAGTGGCCTTGAAATTAGATGGGCTTTGCTAAACTAAATGCAATAAACTGTAATGGCGATTCTCTGATATCATCAGCTGTAATGGTTATTCTCCCATATAACATGCAATAAGTAAAAAAGATCCATTCGCTTTGATACCGGCCAGGGTATTTGTCTAGATATATTTTAGCTTTGTTCCTTTCCGTGTTCCTGTTGTGATGACCTTCAGTCTGAACAATTTATGACTGACAATAATACTCAGCTTAAAAATCTGCTGTGAGACTGAAGTCCAACTGTGATGAAATCCACCTCAACAGGAAGTCTCTGCAATTGCCTGTTTCAGCTGATATTATAAGCATTCAAGTGGAGGGGAGGGGAGAGAAATAATGGACACTCCAGACAAAAATATCCATAGTGCAATCACAGATTGCCTTTATATAACATTGGTAAATCTCAATACATTGGCATGTGTAGCAACCTTCAACCAGTTTCTTAAAAAAACCAAAAACCACCAACCAACAATTTTGTCACATTTCATTGCTTTCCTTTTAAGTGGAATGGTATGTTCCACTCCTCATTTTTTTAAAGTGAATCTGAATAGGAAGGCAGATCAGGAGAAATCTCTATTGTTGGCATGTTTCAGATCTTGAAAAGTTCAGTTTTAAAAAGGAACTAGTTCAAGTTCAACACGTCTCAACAGCAAGTAATTCCAATTCACATTCATCCCTTTACAAAATGAATGCGTTCAATTCATGTTCAGTTCACAGTTCTATTCAGTTCATCCAAATGATCCTTGGCTGTTTCCGCCCCCCCCCCCAAAGTTTTCAGGGATTTTATGTGCTTCAAAATCTTAGTCCAGAGATGAAAGTTGGACCAATGAAATGAGTGCACAGACTCTTAAGAAACAATAATACCTACTCTCTGGAAAACAACAACAATCTATTGTCTATTTCAAGACTGGGTATGCACAGCACCTGGTGGTCCTTCTGTAACATGCTTTGGTTCACCCAAGCTTCTCATTATGAAGCTTTTAAATCAATGGGTTATCTTTTAAAAAATGGCTGTTTCCTCATTTTCTGTGATAAACTCAATTTAGTGCACCTGCTTGGTCTGCTTTCTGATGCTCTAAGACAGTGTTCCTTAAAGTTGGGTCACCAGCAGTTGTTGGACCAAAACTCTCATCATCCCTAGCTAGCAGGACCAGTAGTCAGGGATGACCAGAACTGCAGTCCAGCAACAACTGGAGAACCAAGTTTGAGAAACACTGTTATCTAACAGCATTAGAAAAAAGGAAAATGGCACTATGCCTATTTATCTTTCTGCAAGAGATGCATCTTGCTTTCTGTGCAAGCCCATGCTGTACTAGACATCTCTTAGCCTGCTCATTCTCTGCATGAGTCTTTTTATGTCTCTCCCCACACTTTATGCAATGCTGCATAAACCAACAATGCTCTGAAATCCACAACAAAATCAGACCAGAATAAATCCATATTTTTTTTAAAAAAAATAGAGAATAAAAAGCAGCTGCAAGGTTTCAAGGACATCCATTGTTTGATTCAAAGCTGGGGCAATGAGTTCTTCATCACTGTTGAATGGAATACTTGGCTTCTTTGGAATTAAGTAAAGTATACTTAGCCTGGAGACAGAAGATAGTTTCTGAGAGAAACGCTTCCTATGAAGCAAAAGCAAGATGAGTATGGACACCAGTGGCAATGATTCCTCTTTCAACCCAGCTCTGTGAAGGAAGGGGGGGGGGAAGCAATCGTCTTCAGGTATAGTTGTGTAGAATCATAGGCTGCTTGAGTGAGACATATCAAAACCAGCCCCCAGCAGGAAAGAGCGATCCTTCACATTTCAACTGCTGAATCATATTACCCATATCTTGTGTCACAAGCAACACCACACTGCACCACGCCAAAGGTGCCTGCAATGCAAGGTTTCGTGTTGAGGGTTAGAAAGCGTAAACAAGGCAAGAGGGCTGTGAGATAACCGAATATATGACAACAAGACTCTCAGACTTGCTCCGGCTGCACAGAGCTCCCACCCAGCTTCTAACCATGAAACCTTTTGCCCTTCAGATCCTTGAAAATAAGAATGGTGACCAAAGAGATTAACCGAAAGAGAATCGTGAGGAAAACTTCTTCCCAACAAAGCTATAACCAGTAGCTAAACGCAGCATTTGGGGGTCAGAGAGCTGCAATCCCATTGGCCATGAAGAATCGCCCATCCTATCTAATCCTCTCTCAGTGGTGCAGCAGAAAAAGGAGGTTTTCTGGAAAAAGGCATGCATGATAGCACCACAGCACATTTTAATCTGCCCATGACAAGTCTGTATTCTTGTCAGCCACAGTGCCGTGATGCCACTCCTGCAGCACTGCTTTACTGGTAGGCTAGGGTGAGCATGGTGACTCGCAAGGCTATGACTGACAGTTTCATTAAGCAATTCCATTGAATTTAGGGCCATTCACGTAGCCACTTTCGGGTGCAGTGACCCATTTGTCAACTTGCAATGGCAAGTTCAGCCTTCCCTGTGTAACATTCCGAACTGAATGGTGTGGTTGGTCCAGCATGTTCCACCCAAACTGTGCTGAATGACAACCTTGTTGTCTCTGTGTTGGCCATTATTCTCTGCGTTCCAGTAAGCACCAAGGTAGTTCCATCAGATCAGCATTGCTCGAGGCTGAAACGTGCTCCTTTTTTAAGCAACAGAGGCTGGTCCATGGGTGCAAATGGCCCTCACAGCCTCAATCAGCTCTTGGCTGCCTGTCTTCTTACTTATGAGCAAAGGGATGACTGTACCTGTCACTGACTCTGGTTTCTCTGTCTTCTCCACTTCCAGTCCCTACAGGCACAATGATACCGTACCATACCTCAAATACATTGCTCTGCAATAGCTTTGTGCTACCATTTCTGGAGTATACAGAACCGTGCATGTGATGTCCTAAACATCAATATATTCTTTATGAATTCGCTTCAAGCTTTTAAAAAGCAAAGTCGATGTTGGCTGTCTACCATTTTCAGCAATGATGCTGGATCCCCCTCCCGCCATGTAAGATCTTGCCAAAATTACCCATGTCTCAAAACCACATTCTGCATTTGTCTCCTCCATATCACTGGCTGTGTGAATGGGACAGAAATGTGGACGAAGGGGCACAGAGTAAGTTCTACTAGACATTACTGCTGCTGGTACTGGACAGTATTGTAATGCTGTGGGATGGACATGTGGCTGTCATTTTAGGGTTGTTCAGTCGTAATCCCCTAGTTGTCATTATTCAGGTTGGTTCGGTCCTTAGATGTCTTAAAAAAGAATTAGACAACATTATGGAGTATTAATCTATGACATGCAATATATTTCTGACTACCAGAAACTGAGGTCAAGTTATCTATCTATCTAATTTATATTTCCACCTCTCTTTCAGGGAGCTCAAGACGGTGTGTACGTGTTCTCTTCCTCTACATTTTATCTTCACAACAACCCTGTGAAGTAGGTTAGGCTGAGCGACTAGTACTGTGAAACCCAGTGAGTTTCTTAGCCAAGCAGCGATTTGAACCCTGGTCTCTCAGGTCCTAACCCAGCACTTTATAACCACTAGGCCACACTCCTCTGTGGGCTTCCCAAATGTATAAAGGTGGGGTATAAATAAATATATATATAATAATAATGTATGTGGCCAGCTGCTGTTAGACTGAAAGAAGTGGACTCAGCAGGCTAAGTTGGTTTGATTCGTCATCGATGGTTCTTACGGATCAGAGTTTTCCTTTGATTCAACGGGGTCATGGAATGCAATGATACAGTACTAATGGGCATCACCAGGACCAGTGGAGCAGTACAAGAGAGAGCTGGAGTTGGATTTAATAGTCATATAGCGCACCAGCCTATTATATGCAAGGATAGTTAGAACAAATCCAGCCTCACCTGCCTAAATCTGGGCTGGGGAAAGGATCATGGTGTTGTTTCCTGCACATCATAGAGACCCTGCCTCGCAGGGCAAGTGCAGTGAAGATCGCAGAGCGCTTTGCAAATCAAAATACAGTATAAATTACAAGAATCAACAGCAGCTTAAATTGCACCAAGTGCCCTGGCTAAACTAGTCTGGCCGGTAGGTTGCAAGAGAGAAGCTGAGCCCTGCTGCTTGAAAATGATGAAGGTTGCACTAGACAAAAGCATTTTAAAAGCCTGATACTGTGTTTTCTGCTTCTTCAAACAACCACCACTGCTTTTTTCTTTCTGGCAGCCTCTGTCTTAATCCAGTTTATCACTTCAAGATGCAGCTGATGGTTCTCAGGGAGATTAGCACACTCTGGATTGTTATTTTCAGCCCTGGTCAACATGGAAGGAGCCTTCGGTAGGGACACACTAGGTTAGCTAGAGGCCCTTGTCCATTCTATTCCGAGGCTGCTTTGGTCTTCAAGGCAATCTGCATAAATTACGCATAACTACACTATCGTGTCTGACAGTCACTCCAACCTAATTAGGAATTTGCGAGGTGAAGGAAGAAAAGGAACATGCGCTGAGAGAGTAAAATGGAAAGGCTAAGTAAAGATATTGATACATTCTATGGCAGCTACATTTGGAATGGATTGGATAAAGAAAATGACTCCCCAAGAGTGTGTAAAAGTGGTACAACGTAGGCATAGGCAAACTGGCTTCAAAACCTCCCTTAGCTTTGAAGCCTAGGGCGAGTCACGCTGCCTCTCTCAAGTTTGCTGTGTGAGGCTAGACCATCGCTTTGAGGTCCTTGGGTTGTGTATGTGTAGGGGAAAGGTGTGATACAAATGAAAGAAGCCAATTCCATAACTCTTGTAACAGAGCAACGTCCTCCACAGACTCTGGTTACAAAGCAGTCACTTGTTTCACTGCCCCTTCCCCACCAAATCTGTACTGAGGTATGGCATTGACTTATGGGCTGACCTACCAACCTAAAAAAGCCATCTGCTCACATAAATGGAGACTGGAACACCAATAGGACAGTAGCTCAATGGTAGAGCATCTGCTTTGCATGTAGGGGGTCCATGGTTCAATCCCCAGCATCTCTTGGTAGGACTCAGAATTTCTCTTTTCTGAAATCCTGGAGAGATGCTGCTTAGACAATACTGATCTGGGTGGACCAATGGTCTGAGTCAGTATAAGGCAGCTTCCTGTGTTCCTGTTATACCGCTTAGTAGAGTTAACCTCAGATATACCAAACCCAGACGTGACCGTTCTTCAGCCTACCAAGTACTTATTTGAGTCACATTGAGTCCTGTTCAACCAGCTGGTCTGCCAGTCCCACCATCTCTGTTGCTGGGGCCTTCAAACAAGGGTTGAATCACACAGAACTGAGAGCAGTCTTGTGAAGGTTCTGACACCAGTCAAGATCATACCTCAGCCTTGGGAAATCTTTAAAACATGAATGGGGTGGACGGGGACCTGTGACTCTCCAGACAGACTTCAGATCCCAACAGACCGAGCCAGAGGATTATAGGACTTGTGGTCCAGCCACATCTAGAGGACCATAGTTTCCTCATCTCTGCTTCAAAGCATAGTTTGGGCCAGAGGGTCACCAACAGTGGAATCCTGCGCAGGTTGACTCGGAAGTGGAGTTCACTCCCAAGGAAAAGGGTAACAGATTGTAGCTAAAGCCATTGCTGAGGAACATTCTCACCAGTCATCCCAATTCCACTCCTCCCCCATAACGTCAGCTTGTGATGACTTCATGCAATTGCCCTGCGAAAGATGATCATCCAAACTGTCTCTGTGTCATAAAACCCACATGGACAACCCACATCTTCCTGGGAGGAGGAGAAAGAGGTGGAGTCATATGACGCCTTGGCACACACCATGATTGCTAGAATAGGTATGTGACCAGCAGGGTGAGTGTCAGAAGACAGACTTTGCAAATGCAAATGTTTCGGAGTCATAGGAAACCCTAAGCTGACGCTGTACTCTTGCCAGAGAGTGCCACCTACTGGGATGGAAAGGGAGGGCGTACACATCCCCAGCATAGATTTCCTGTAGTTTTGCATTCTGCACTTCATGTCTGCAGCGTGGGACTGTTGTTCCAAGGAACTTTTTGTATGGTCGAGACATTTCTATCCCATTCTTCATCAAGGATGTTCAAGGGATTCATGATACATTTTAAAATACAAATAATATGCATTAAAAATGATATCAATAAAACAAGCAGATTCTCTAAAATTAAATAGAATATTGTAATGACCTAGCTATGTTTAACTCAGCATTTCATAGCTGATTGTCGTCGTCCCCGCCCTTATCCCTGTGGTTGTAAAGCATTCTGGTGCTAATTGAATTGTCACTATCTGCATTTTGTTGCATTTCTGTTCCTTTGGACCTCCCCCAAGGTAGGTGTGTGTGTGTGTGTGTGTGTGTGTGTGTGTGTCTATCTATCTATCTATCTATCTATCTATAAATCAATCAATCATCTATCTATCTATTTATCTTTATCTACCAAATCCCCTGTAACTGTGGATTACACTTCAGCCAACTGATGGATTCTAGTCCATGAAAACTTGTCACAATAAAGCCTTTAAGGTGCCACAAGCCTCTTTATTGGCTTTGCTGCAACAGAATAACAGAATGCCCATTGGGAAATGACCCAGGACAGTCAACCACTGTCCAGGGGTAATGTTCACCCAAGTAACAGTGGCTTGACCTGGTGCCTAAAAACAGGAAAGGAGGGAGCCAGGTGTGTCTCATGGAGAAGCCAGTTCCAAAATTTTGTGCCGCTACCAAGAAAGACTCTTCATATGTACCCACCCAATGCACTTCAGATGGCGGTGTGACACTGAGCAAGGTCTTACCTGAGAATCACAACACATGGGTTGGTTATAGGCAAAGGTAGTCCTTCAAACTTTTGTGATAAGGATACATGACCACTTAACAGGAGGCACTGCAGATCAATGCACAATTACTAGTAATGAAGCCCCAGTGAACACAGTGGACTTTCATCCAAGTAAACACGCACAGGTTCAGGCTGCAAGCCTAGCAGTTTTCACTTTATTGCATCCACAAATTTACAAGGAGATGGAGGGGGGAAGAAACTTTTAACATCTGTAAATGATTACCGCCAGACACAAAGCAAGTCATTAGATCTGCAAAGTTCCATCACATTCTAACTCTAAGGCAAACCCTCTCCAAAGGAACAAAACATCAAGGAAATAATTTTTACTGTGTTTTATCTGTCATTGGATGACATAAAAGCCAGTGGTTTAGCCAGCTGAATGCAGTAGAGACTGCATTTAACACACTTCTCCTTGGAAAAGGGCATGACAATAAATTCTGGGGCTCATAACTTGACCCAGAGGAAAATTCTCAGAGTCAAACTCTCCCTTAGTTCAACCATCGAGGCGCTCCAAAGTACTCTGGGAACCTTCAGATGCCTTGTGCCTAAAGGCATCTCTTCCAGCCCCCCGCTTTTTTTTGTAATGGCACAATATTTGATGAGAATCTAGAGCTTATAAGCTTCAGCACAGCTGAAATTCTATGACCAGATCCAGCAACAGATACTCTGTGCGCATTTGAAAACACTCTCTTGAAATAACCAGACCCACAGTCCCAGTATCTGACATTATGACTTCCTCTTCTCTGCATTACAAAATTTAATTTGACGCAATTACCCAAGTTTTAATTTGGAAGAAAATGTGATGCTTCCAAGATAAAACTCCTTATCGCATTCACCTGTGCAGTCATTATCTTTCACCATCCCTATCCACTGTTTTTATTCCCTCACTTTGGCTTCCTTTTCTCTGTTCGTTCCTTCAAATGAATTATAGCATCTTCAGCTAAATGCAAACCTGGGTATTAATATTTTAGGTTCCCCCGACTGGCAGATCGAGACCCCAGAATGTTTTTTTTTTTTAAATGATATTTATTAAGGTTTCAAATAAAAGAATTACATAAATAAAAAGAAAAAACAAACAAAAATAAAAATAAAAGAAAAATACAAAATACAAAAAAGATAAAAAACACTTTAAAAAATACATCAATCTTTCCATGCCTTACATTCATTTCCTTGCTTCCCTGACCTCCTCACACCTCCCTCTTTTGTATTCCAATTCAATTAGTTAATTCAGCAATTTCTTTCCCTCTTTGTTTTTATCTTAATCCTTTAACTTAATATATTATAACTTTGGATTCTCACCTGTTAACAATCCATTTTTACATACATCTTTATAACATTGCTGCTTAAACCACTTAACTTCATTCTGACATCATTCTAACATTCATTAATTTTGCAATATTTCTGTAAATAGTCTTTAAATTTCTTCCAATCTTCTTCCACCGACTCTTCTCCCTGGTCTCGGATTCTGCCAGTCATTTCCACCAATTCCATGTAGTCCATCACCTTCATCTGCCATTCTTCCAGAGTGGGTAGATCTTGTGTCTTCCAATACTTTGCAATAAGTATTCTTGTTGCTGTTGTGGCATACATAAAGAAAGTTCTGTCCTTCTTTGGCACCATTTGGCCGACCATGCCCAGGAGAAAGGCCTCTGGTTTCTTCAGAAAGGTATATTTAAATACCCTTTTCATTTCATTATAAATCATCTCCCAGAAAGCCTTAATCCTTGGGCACGTCCACCAAAGGTGGAAGAATGTACCTTCAGTTTCTTTACATTTCCAACATTTATTATCGGGCAAATGATAGATTTTTGCAAGCTTGACTGGTGTCATGTACCACCTGTATATCATTTTCATAATATTCTCTCTTAAGGCATTACATGCCGTAAACTTCATACCTGTGGTCCATAACTGTTCCCAGTCAGCCATCATACCCATATTTGGTCAATTCTTGTCCATGTCAGTTTGGCTTCAGAGAAGGAGGTTCCCTCTCTGGCCAAGGGATTCTTTGTTCTCCAGATATCAACTAAGTCCAAGTTGTCTGTCATTTCAAAAAAGGTTTTCGGTAGTCTGCCGTCCTTAGTGACTACCTGTCTTTGTGCCTTGTCCATATGTGTAGATACCACTCCGTTCATGTCTCCCATCAAAATCACATTATAATCCAAATAGTCCATCAAGGTCTCATGCAACTTTTTAAAGAATTCAGATTTCCCCTCATTTGGTGCATAAACTCCTACTATCAAAAATTTCTCTCCTTGTGTTTGAATTTCAATTGCCACAAATCTTCCTTGGTCATCTTTGAAGATAAATTTCGGTAATAGTCTCTCCTTTGCATAAATCACTACCCCTCTTTTTTTAACCTTGTCCGAACAAATAAACTCCTGGCCGAGTCTTTTGTTGATCAATACTTTCCTGTGTAGCCTTGTTACATGTGTTTCCTGTAGACAAATCAAGTCCAATTGTTCCTTTTTTAATAAATGAAACACAGTTTTCCTTTTCTGAGGGGAGTTGAGACCATTAAAATTCCAACTTAATAGTTGCAGAGCCATGATGTAGTTACTTTACTTCTCCTCCAACTGCACCAAGTGCCTGTTCCTGTTCTGTCGGTGGTATCACCTTCTACAGGCGGTCTTTTAATTCAGGAGGTAGTCTTGGTATGTCTAAAATTCCTCTTTCTAGTGCTCTTAACTCTTCTCCAGCTTCTTTCTGCAGGTCTTCTCTGTGGTCTCTCAAAAATCTTTCTTTGTCGTCCTCTGATCTTATTTCTATCTTTCTCCCTTTGTAGCGAAAGGATAGGCCTTGGGGGAATTCCCACCTAAAGATGATTCCGTTGCTTCTCAGCAGGGCGACCAAATCTCTATAATTGGACCTAAGGTCCAGAAGATATTTCGGAATGTCCTTAAATATCTCCACTTTTGACTGATGTATTTCCAAAGTCTTCTGGAAGTGCAGACTCAAGATTTTATCTCTCTCCTCTTTTGTTCGGAGGGTGATCAAACAATCTCTCACCCTGTTCTTCTTCCCTCCTCTTCCAAGCCTAAAGGCACTCACTATCTTAAAGTTTTCCTTCTCCAAATCTGGGTTCCAAAAGTCTGCAAATTCCTGCGTAAGAAAGTCAGTCAGATTGTCTTTCTCAAGTTCAGGTACAGCCCTGATCCTCAAATTCGTTTGCTTCTCCTTCAATTCAATCATAGACAA